GTGCCTTCCTAAAGCAACAGCACCCCTGACTGGGCTTAAATCCCTTTGTGAACTATATGAGTCAACGTAAGTCCCCTTAGGGTCACGTGTAACCTTGGAAGGGTTACGTCACGGCTTCTACATCTTGTAGATCATTTGCAGTCTCAATCCTTCTCCTCCAATCCTCATCCTTCTGGTTCCTGTCTGATTTATTCTCAACTTTTTCGGATTTTGTTATTTTTAGAAACTAATATTTTCTGATTTCTCTCAAGCTGAAGGTGGTTTTCCCTCTAAAATATCGTGACATTCCTTACTAAAGAGAACCATAAAAAATCAAATTTAGACCATTATCGGGGTGACACGTGCACACAATCAAAATAAGTTAATTTTCCACCTCGTAAGCGATTTATTCCCTGATACATTTACAGTCGGTTGCGCGTAATGTTTCGTGATTAAACAGTCAACAAATGCGAACCTTCCACCTTTAAATCCCTGAAGCAAATCTAATCTGTAATCGGTCGACTTCAAGAAAAGTGTTTTTATTTGCCAGAGTCTATTACTTGCGCATAGGTTAACGATAATGTTAAGGAACTTATGTAAAGCGGTTTTTGAAGCTAATTAGTGTCACTAGTATGCATGGAAACCAAAATCTGATTGCTCTCTGCGGGATTTAAACCTATCACCTTCCAATTAACAGTGCGAAAACACTAACTTTGAACTTCAGGACACTCGTTTTCACCAATATCATCAGGTTTACACTATACCCCCCTCATCTCCATCACGAAAGTTTTATCATTGCATAAAGGGGTTAGCTTTCTAAAGAAACTATGGTGCTGCGTTGGTGGGAGTAACAAGTTCATTTTGGTTTTTATCAATTCAACTGAGTTGATGAAGTAAACTGGCCAACGTAAAGAGTTTCAAAGCTGACTTTTCGAGCGTTAGCCCTTCGTCAGAACGAATTTTATTCATTGCAGTTGGCCAATCACGGCAAAGGCACATTGTAGAATGAACCAATCAAAACTAAAAAATACAAATACTAATCAAGAAAAACTAAGGTCACTGGCTTGTTCTTTGATCGCACAAGCTAGAAAGCTTTCTTCACGCACAGCTAGCAAGAAAACCTCTTCTTTGACATTGACTACAAAATTATGCCGCTACTCACGCATCATGATAAGAATCTGAAAAATCTAAGTTACTTACTCAGTTGAGGGGGACGCCATTTCTTCTTTGCTGGTAACTTGCACAGACATTTTCTCCACTTCTTCCTCAGAAGTCATGACTAATTAAAGAAAGATAATACGATTATTCAGTACAGCATAACGTTTTTCTTTGTAAATGAAAAACCCAGCTTGGGAGTTGCAATAAACGTATGTATGTTTTTCGTTTGTTTGTTTGTTTGTTTCTTTTCATAACAGTATGGCTTCTTTGAATGGTATTACTGATACGTAGAAACGGCAACATCTACTTTGTGGTTAACGTAGACAATGACCTCAATTTGGCAGGAGTCGAAATCTGCAAGTCATTTGTTCAAAGGGGCAAACAGATATCCTAGTGTTGAATTCTTAAAAAAAAAATGTCGCTTTTTCTTTTCCCGTCTGTCTGAGAGCCATGCCAGCTTGTTAAAGTTTGGCAAACTCGGTGGCTTGCCTAATTGGAGTGTCAAGTATTATCTTGCTGATCTCTATATCCGAGATTAAAACTGAAAATAGAGCGCTAATTCGATTAAATTTCGGGGAATATCACGGGATACTTCCTATGTTTAGTAAACAATAGCGTTTTGCCCAATTCACAAAGGTACGCGTTTACAATGAATTAAAGACACTATCCTTGGCCAATACTACTGAAGACGGCTTTAGGAACTCGGCCACCTTCCACCCAACCTAAAACATTATCCTTCTTTTCATTTGGACAGTGGTGTGATTGCGAATGGTAAACCACTCTATGACTGTTACACCCCATGTCTAGCAAGAGGAGTGACCTGATGCCCTGCAAGGGTGTGTATGTATCTATTATGGCGCACAGTAAAGAGTGAAAACTGACAAGGGTGTGTATGTATCTATTATGGCGCACAGTAAAGAGTGAAAACTGACAAGGGTGTGTATGTATCTATTATGGCGCACAGTAAAGAGTGAAAACTGACAAGGGTGTGTATGTATCTATTATGGCGCACAGTAAAGAGTGAAAACTGACAAGGGTGTGTATGTATCTATTATGGCGCACAGTAAAGAGTGAAAACTGACAAGGGTGTGTATGTATCTATTATGGCGCACAGTAAAGAGTGAAAACTGACAAGCTTGAAATGATGGTCAACAGCCGAGTAAGTACTATGTGAACGCTTCTCCTGTCAGGCTGGATCTTCCAATCAAACATCAACTCCTCTGATTCACGAAACCAGTTCTTAAAAACTATACAAGAACTATGGATGCCTTTCGCTAATCACACAGAGCTTTTAAGAGTTTCTGAGCCACGTGTCTCAAAGAATATAATAATAACAACACCCCAAGGGAAGACCTTTGAAATGATAAATTAGGAGGACCTTGTTTGTTGCAATTTTTTTAAGAGGATCTAAGTTTAATTGGTCGATAAGATTATCGTGTTGCAACAAATTGAAGAATCGGTCAAAACAATAACTTCGATCTTAGACAGACAATTCCCTTCGAGAAGTCCTTCACTAGCCTGAATAGACGGCCACCCCCCTTTAAAATCTACAGACTCGAGGTCAGTTAATTAGCTTTTAGCTAACACGATTTTGTTGGTTACCGGTAGTACAATGATCTCTCTTGAAGTATGTGAGCATTCGTCGAATACCTGTTAAAATCCGCGTCCGTCATAAATCGAATTTCTGCAAGCTTAATGAAGTGATGTTTTGCGCATCCAGAATTTCGATATGTATCCAGTTACACGATAAGAGCTACATTCTTGGTGTTCCTAATCAGAAGAGTCCCGGGGGGACCGGAGGAACCCATTCCGTTATTGAAATTTTAGCTAGGTTCCTCTCGAAACGGCTGCCTTTCTAGGCATACTGTACAAAATTGCATAAGCCGGATTTCACAATGAGAAGGGTATTAAAGAAAAGGGAAATCTACCACACGGATAGACTCTTGTTATCTTTCCTAGGGTGCAGAAAAGGGTAGCACTTTGTTTCGAAGGGATGTGGATGGTAAACCGGCTTTCCACTTCTCCATTAGTAGTTGGATATCGATCGGATCTGAGGGGGGACCAATATAAAACTTAGCTGATTCCCCCCCCGGGTCTAAGAGGACATATGACCTGAACGGGATTACTTCGGCCACTATCAACAAGTTTTCCGTTTGAATATTCGTGGTTGTAAGTTTTCCACATTTTTTGCAAATTGGCCAACGCAGTAAAAATACCAATCATTTTTGCCTTACCCTAGACCTTTTCAACAAAGAGGTATTTTTATATTTTAGCTTTTCATGCGCGTGTGTTCCACAATTAGTCGACCGAAATCCGCCCCCATAAACAGTACAATGGGCTTTGGCAAGTGTTTGATCGCCGGAAATGAGCATTAAAAACCGAGACAGACAGAGTTTTAATCTCATTCAAGCGTGGATTTCGACAAATTATTTTCATAACGAAGAGGGGGGGTGGGTGCTAATACCAGACAGATGTGAATTTCTGAGATCGCAATGTACCGGTATTGCTTCTTTGCTGTTTCCTACGGCACTCATCTAACTCGTGATATCGAAATCATGAATATAGTTGTTTTCGAGAATATTGGTTGTAGGTTAAAATTACCTCTGACGCAAACGCTTTTCCTTCATACGAAAAGTAAACATTATTCTTAGGAGACTAAAAGTGTTTAACTCGAATTAACCGGCCCGTTTGACTAAGTAGGAAATCATTTCAACTGATAGAAAGACACAAATAGGGTTATACACGTTATTTTTGTCTTAACAGTCTGTGGCCCTAACCGCGTCTTGATACGAAAACATAGTGCTATTATTGAGCCTGGAATATTGAATAAACAGAGCGTGATTATCTGAACACTCGTTCTTAATCAATTCGTGATGTATGTTGACGTGATTTGCAGTAATTTCTTGGTAGTACAATCGAGTTAGCACATGGCGCTCTTTATGCCCCACCACACTACCCAAGATCGAAACAAACCGGGCTCACATTGTTAAGTGTATATACAAAATGATTTGTCCTAAATGTTCCAAAGAGGGACTTGCCATTACACTCGGACACATCCAAGGCCTGTAGATGGTTACTAACCTCTCAGTTGTCGTTTATTGTGCAAGATTTGGATGATTCTTCGCAAAATCACGCTTGGAATTTATCAATTGTGTAATGCGTGAGATTAGTGTCGTATGGGAGTCAGCGCCGTCGATCAAGCACAATAATCGAGAACGATACTCACATTGAGCTCGTTAGAGAGAAGATGAAAGTCAAAAGTATTTCGGTTGGAACACCTACCTACCAGTAGACTCAGTAACTTACTACAGTATCTACCACATAATTGTGTTGTTTACTTCGATATCACCACCCTGAGGAAGTATTTTTGTCGGAATCACGAGTAGCGACTAAAGTGTGTCTCGAAGAGATGTCGGGGTAACGAAGCTTGCTTCAGATAACCCTCACAGTTAGTTCAGTTAATTTTTTTTTTTTTTTTTCGTATCACAACGATTGAATACCAATTTCCGGATAAACCCTCATGGACTAAACACTTGTTGTGTACCTACAGCGGTAAACAAAGTAAATCGCTAACCAAACCCGGCACTGATGCAAATAATTTCGTCGATATTAAATTTTTTTTCAGTTCGATTCTTCGATATACAGTTTCGAAACGCGTATTATGCCAAATTTACGCAATCGAAACATGATATGACGATTGAACCTTACATTAAATTCTCAATGAAATGCATCAATAAAGGAAAAGAAATAAACTCACCGATGTTGCCAGTGGAGCTTCATCACTGCTGTGTTGATTTTCTGTGGTCAAACGACGAAATAGGTTTTGCTTTTCATCCTCCAGGGCTTCGTGGATCAGAAACGTCTTTATCAATTTTCAGAACATAAACCTTTTCACGCAAGAACTCTACTGTTTCGGCGAGATACTAGCTAAACGATTATGGCAGCCGTAAACCACGTTCAAGTTACAAATCTATGACGTACCGTAATACAAGACGACCTATGTGTTGAATGATGATAAATCTTTGGATTTTTTGGGATCATACCAGTCGTAACCGGAAAGCATGCAAAACATTTCCACCAAGCGCATTATTAGTGATAAAGAGTTACCGGCTAAAAGCAGGCTTAAAAATATCAACCTTCAATGTTATTTTACGGAAAGTTGCTCCGGTTTTCTTGGTGTGAATGACCCTTGCGTGCCTTTTTCTGTCTCTTAGCTCGCGGCAACGAAAGATGATCTTCCTAAATTGAAATAATTACATATTGTATCGAGGGCCAGACTGTCTAGACTTTCTTTGTAATAGAGACTACAATACAAACAAGTTGTTGATAGCCTCTTCATTCTTACACTTCTCACAGTAGCAGGTAATGTCCTTTTGCTAGTCTACCACAGGGGGAGACCTGCTTCTCACATTGCGTGATCGAACGCCCCTGATGTTGATAAGTTCGTGTCATCGACCGCAGGAGAAAGGCGCAAAAGCTACTTTGCTTGACCGCGGGCGAACACAGGAACAGAAGCACACGTGCGAAATATGATTACGGAGAAACAATCAGAGACAGTGATTTAAAATACTCCAGCTGTGGTCTCCTCGACTTGAACAGCTTTCTGAAAGGAGTTACATAAGTCACAGGTTATTTAAAAATCCTCGTCAGATAAGTACCACATTCTTGGCTGTCTCCATTCCTTGATATTTATATGAAGGGAGCCCCTATTCTAAACAGGTGATACCTTTTTCAAATGCTGGGTCAGGAGTTCCTAGCATTGCCTCATTCAAATATTTGACAGTCAGTCTTGGCGACATTTAAGATAGCATCTCCTTTGGGCAGCAGTTAAACTTCTTGTAATCCGCAGACTTTATTTTCTTAAGTCACACGTTGCTCTTGTTTAGATACTCACCGAGGAAAAACCGGCGGACATGAAAACAAGTGTTAAGTTGGATTTCCACGGTTGTGCTTTTATCCACGCACGTGAACGCGCGTCAAAAAGATTATGTTCGTTGAAATGAACATTTTAATACGTGCGTAAACGCAGCCATTGTTTAAACGCTGTCATATTTCCACCTCCACTTGTTTTTCAACTCACGTTGCAATGGCGAGAGCGCACAGAGAAGTTGAACGTGCGTGGGCCTGCGTTTTTCGCACGCGGAAAAAAAAGGCGTGGTATTGCTTTCTTACGCGGCAAAAGAAATTGCTCACGCAAGTTTTCTTTACGCGCGTTTTACTACTTACGCAAAAAATTACGCGACACTGGAAATTCACCTTTACCCTCTCTTATGTTGACCGAATGAACGTAGTGTGTCAGATAAACATGACGCGATGATGATTACTTTCATCAGTTTCATCTCTAAGTTTATGATTCACAGTGTTCCGACTTCCTGGACATGAAAAATAACTTCTCCGCCCCGGTTCGCACGACACAGCAAAGCCTGCAACTTGTGCGAGGATAATTAACAAATGGTAAACATTTGTTTTATAACATAACATTGATACATTGTAGCTAAAGAGTTCCCTCTTATTTAACAAATCTTACGCGACCAGAAAAAACAAGCGCGCGCGGAAAAATAGTCTTTAACAAATGGTAAACACCACAGCGTACACTATTGAGTTATGGATGCACGCGGGTGGTTGCTAAGCATGAAAGAAGCGTAAGAGTCGCTCGAGGCGATAGCCGAGAGCGACTCTAGCTTCTTGAGTGCTTAGCAAACCTCCCAAGTGCATCCATAACTCAATAGTGTACGCTGTGGTGTTTACCATTTGTTTTATAACATAACATTGATACACTGTAGCTAAAGAGTTTCCTTTTATTTAACAAATCTTAAGTGACCAGAAAAAACTAGCGCGCGCGGAAAAATAGTCTTTGCATTTGCTCACGTCAGTAGCGTACACCCATGGGCAAAATGGGGGACGCTAAATTGACCAATCAGAGCGCACGCTTTACGTTGGTTATGTTATAATTGCATTTGCTCACGTCAGCAGCGTACACCCATGGGCAAATGGGGGACGCTAAATTAACCAATCAGAGCGCGCGCTTTACTTTGGTTATGTTATAATTTTGGTTTGAAAATTTATGACGCGAGACTGAATGCTCGCATGAAGAACAGAGCATGAGACACAAGTGCGGGTCGGTGCAGGTGTGTCTGAGATTAAAATCCTTTTACAAACCCGGGAAAGGGGTCAGTTTCGGATCTTATGAAATCCGGAATTGAATTAAGGTATGAACCTGCTCAAAGAGATAAAGCAACAACGATAACGACAAGTTAAGGCATTTGATAAGAGTGCACCCCTCAGGCTCTTGGGTATTTTTTCAGTTCTTTACCCTGTAATCAGTATGTTTTTCTTTTGCTCAAAGGTTCACTGCACGTTATACCTTTAATTGCGTAAAACTTGTACTCTTGCGAATTCACCTCTATTCATGAACAGACTGACCGATTGACTGCAAACAGTTAATGGTTTGAACCCGGGGGTATCATTTGAAATGTAGTCTGATCGTCTAGATGAGGGTTATCATTGACTTACGAAGTACCCTACTCACTGAGACTCTGCGCAATGCCTGACCTACAACAATAACTATTTTTAACGACTGACTCTGGAGAACTCCTTTGCTTACTTAAAAAAGACTTTCCTTCAACAGGTGTCAACTACTACCAGCACCATACAAACGACTTGTTCACGACGCTTACACCCCAAACGGACCGAACAGAATCACCAAACATCACTGACGAACTAAACTGACCAATCATGACCGACTTATACAACTCGAGTCTTACAGCCAATAGCATCACGGCTAAACTGACCAATCAGTTAACACGAGCCGGACTTAGAAGATTCGACTGACTACAAATCTTCACTTAGCTCTGATGATGACTTCCGCTCAGGTTGCTGAAACGACAACAGTCCTTCTCAGGACTGCACTCACCCGAACGATCAGATTACACGCTCAGACTGACTCCAGGAAGTTAAGTAGCCTAGAATACGTACAATATACATATCTTATTAACCAAGTGCGAGGGCCGTACTGGGAGAATATCGGCCCGAGGTCTTGACAGTACGGACCGAGCGCAGCGAGGTCCGTACAAAAAAGACCGAGGGCCGATATTCTTCCAGTACGGTCCCGAGCAAGCTTGGTTAATAAGAGATTTATTATACGACTGAAGTTCAAAGGGACACAAGTGCGGTATCATTCGGGACCATTCGGGACAGTGCCCGGTCCAATACTGAGAGAATATTGACCGGCAATAGAGCATTTTGATTGGTTGATTTTAGTTATTGGCCCTCTGACTGCCCGAGTCGTGTAATAATTAGATTTAAATCAAGTTTCATTTTTTTTTATATTCAGTCTTGCGCAAGGAGCTAGCGAATAAAAACCATACCTTGGTAATATTTTGCCAACATGTTTATTATAAAAAATGAACTCTCCGAAATTGAAGAACCTTTAGTTCAAACAACTATTCTCAAAGTTGAATTGCCGGTTCTGAGTAGAAATATAGCCATCGTTTGACAAAAATATATTCATTAACGATACAAAATCAAAAAAGCTTCACGAGAGAGATTTTTATCATTATTGATGATTAATCAGATCATATAACATAAATTTGTACTTCAGTTACAACCTGGTAATTAAAATGCCTGGATTAAAGCTAATCGAATTTTGGACCACTTTGAATGCTGGATTTCAGTTTTAAAGCGGCATCCTTACATATTTGACCTGTTATAAAAATATAGTAGGAGTATTCTTAATTACATACATGAATCTTCTTCGTCGAAAATTAAGCGATTCGTCGACGTATCAGTTCCAGTAATAAGAAAATTATATCCAATGTCATCAGAAACATATTATTGGTCTCGGATGACTTCAAGAAAATTTGACAAAGTAAGACTTGTTATCTTTCTAAGTCCGCTAGTTACTTCACCCCATGCTGTTAAGTACTGTCCGAGCTTGGTAAATAGATACAAGTATGTTATATTGGAAGCGAATATACTGTCCTGAAATAGAATAGAAAATATCGAAGGCTCTTACAAAATCAAGATACTAGGTTTGCTTCAGCAGTAATATTTTTAAATTGAGCGTGAGAAAAGTCTAAGATTGCATGAGCTTTCCTTAACTTGGCGCTGTTAAAATCACCCCAATATCGCAACCAATCAGAAGTAGAGGTAAAACCATTCGTGCTTTGGTTATTTGCGTTTTCCCGCGCTATTAGTGCTTTGCTTAGTTTTTTTCGTTGAGTTCTGATTGGCTCATAATGATATCTTCCTTTGCTCTGAGTGGTCGTTGCGATTCGCTGTAATTATTTTAGTTTTCTTTTCGCTGAATCGAATTGCACTCTTACTATTAACATATTTTTATGAAATTTAAAGTGCTACTGCGACCAAAAATGCGCCTTTTCTTTTCTCCTCAGAGGTTGAAAGTAACTACCCTAAGTAACAAATTTGCCAAATCTTAAGGCAAAACTCCATCGGGAAGTAATATTATTTTCCCTGTAGATTCGCGATCTAAACGGCCGCCATTCTTCGAACTATAGAAATCCGTGCGAAGAAGAAGAAACTGGGTCGAGAACGGAAGTGACGTCAACGACTCAACAAACGTGGCCAGTTTGGTATGCCGAGAGAGAGTTGTTTTTCTGGTTCCGCAAGAAAGAAGGAATAAAATTCGAAAGAATTGTTCCCCAGCTTTCTTTTGCGTATTTCTTGTAAAGGCATGCCTTCGCGGCGTTGCCTAAGTGAGTCGATGACGTCACAACTAAAACCACTGTAGTTATTTTCGCGGGCTCTCCAGTGTGTTATTCGAGCAATAGCGGAAGAAATTTTAATGTCTTCGCGGCGCTGTTTTTAAGGAATAACGTTGTCAAATTTGAGAAAATTACGCTTATTCTTATAGTTTAGGGTCTAAATGTGAAGTTAACACCAGAAAATTGGGAAAATAAAATGCAAAAATTTCGTCGCAGTAGCACTTTAAGCTTGTGCTTGTGCTACTTTGTGATTAGGAGGAGGGGGGCACAATAATCGGTAACTACCAGGAGCCCATCACTTGATGGGATCCTGTAACTACCTAATGTTTTCACGAACAACTCTGGTTTTTCCGCGCTCAGACTGCTGGGGATGAAAAAAAAAAAACAAGTTTTCTGAATACTCATGAAGAAACAATTAGTAGAAGTCTCCCAGCACACGATACAATTCATTGGCATTCCCATCATGCATCAGCATATGGCTGACAGGGAGCATTATTTGTTATTTGTAATTTCTTTCTAATTAATAATCAGTTAATAGTCTCCTTTTCTAGTAAAGATGCTGAAGCTGAAAAAGAAAAAAAATATCAGAAGTTATTTCTAACGCAGTTCTAAGTAATTCATAACCGCAACACATATTTGGTACCTGTATAGCGGATTGGGTAATTTAAAACATTGTCGTATATTACATATAAATATCGGTATTTGAGCAACTACGCACCTACCCCTTCCCTAACTTAACATTATCCCTGCCTCGTTGTCAATTGTCGACTTAGGGGAGGGATGGATGCGCAGTTTCTTAGATACTGACCAGTGCACCCACATTGCTATAATATTTCACTAAACTTGACTTATAACAGCCTTTTCGTTTTTCTATCCTGGGTTTTATTGTGTTCTGTTTCTGTTTAAACCCTTTATATTTATTGACTCTCTCATAGCATTGTCCACTCAAGCCATTTGGGTAAAATACATGAGTTTAGGTTTAGGTTTAGAATGCTGAGTAAATACGTGTCAATAAACTGGTCTTCTCTGCGATAAAAATTTGCTTTATATGGTTTAATATTTCATTACTAACTACTTCTTAGGACAAGTCTGAAGTGGAAGCCGTATCCTCGCCCTAGTCCCCATTAGAGCGCTCAGCTTCAGGGATTGGGGCGAGATGACGACTGACAATTCAGATTTCTCACTGACCCCCAAAGCAAATATTGAATACTCAATTATCGTTACATCTCTTTATACGAGGGAGGGGTGGGTGAGGAATAGCTCAACTCTGTGTGCTAATACGAAGAATATTGACAAACTCACATTCTTGATATCCCCGATTCCTCACGCCTTGACGCTCTCCTGGGTGACGTGTTATTACTTGAGTAATCGTATGTTTCTTCCTCAGTATACCTTGAAATCGGAAAGAAAAAACCCCAAATAAATACATAATCACTTGTTTATTTGAACTGCATAGTAGTGAATGAAGACGAGAGTGATCCTTGCATTAGTGAACGGTACATGAAGTAGTAGTGCGAACCAACGAAATGACATGCTCCCAGTTGGCTCGTCAGTTCAGTTGTTAGAGCACTACACCAGTATCGCATATTGTATCATAATATTAAATAAGTGAAGGAGTCAGACTATTACACAAAGCTCAGTAATGTTTGTTTCTTACCCGGGTTTGTATATTTTCAACTCATCCTGCAGCGCAAACACCTGTTCTTTTAAGTTGTTCCTTTCTGTTAAAACCTCCAGCATCTCTGCTTTTGTGTAACGTGGTCTGTTTGGATCTTTATTTCCGTTTTCTGCTCGTGACTGGCTGTCTTTCTTTTCCGTATCTCCTTCCTTCGACGTTTCTCTGATTTGCACTTCCTTCGACGTTCGACCAACAAATTCCCATTCATTGTCCCCAATCTCTTCTCCATCATCTCCAATTTGTTTCACAAGCACTTGCACCTCTTTCCTTTCAATCTGCCCTTTCGGCTCCATTTTATCATGAGGACTTCCCTTTTCGTTATTATTACACTTGTCTTCCTCTTCTCTACCTTCTTCCTCAATTACAAGACGCGGTGGTTTTGGAGGAGGGACTTCTGTGCTGAATTCTACGGTTTCGGAATTTCCGTTGAAAGTTTTCATTGTATCTTCAGCTTTATCTTCCCTGTCTTTCCCGTTCTCTGTACCATGATTTTCGAGCGGCTGTTGACTGTGGCCGTTCATAAATTGTTCCACACTTTCAGCTTCCTCGCCCATGTCGCTTTCGTCGCTCTCTGCCTGAGATTCGGCCTTGAGTCTAAGTGCTCGCAGCTCTGTTTGAAGCTCTGCTTTCTCTTTCGCCAAATCGTGTATTCGGTCCTTACTGGCACCCAGAGTTTTTCTGACACCTTCGTTAATGTTAGTCAGCCTTACTATTTGTTCCTCTACCTGTAAGGTACGAAATTCGCGCTAAAAAAAATCTCCTGGCATAACTAAAAGGCATAACCCCCCCGATCAAAGGAAAGTTGAGTGAAATGGATGAGCAAGGTCAAGAAACAACCTGAAACAAATTTCTCTGAATTTTTCTGCCCCTTGTTTGAATATCAAATTCTCTCTATCTTAATAATCCCTTCAAACGATTCTTCGAGAAGTTTGTTACTGATTCGTTCAAAGCAGAATAAAGGGGCCATCCTGTACACTTCCGAACTGAAAAATGTTTATAGTCTATCGTTTTGTTTATTTTCGCGCGAAGGACTTGTCATCATTAACAATTATTCCGTTTCTTCCTAATAACAGTCCACGTCATTCCAAACAACGCTCACATTCCAAAGACATACTAAATAATTGTCATAAATTTTCCTTTTACCTTGACTAGCGAGAGCGTTCGATGGAATAAGTGAGAAGATGCGCGAAATACAGTTAGGAGAAGAAAGCAACGATTTCGCACAGTAGTCCTTCCATCCGCTTCCCTCCCATCCGCTTCCCTCCCATCCACTTCCCTCCCATCCGCTTCCCTCCCATCCGCTTCCTACAAAAAGGCTCGCCAGCAGAGATAAAATATCTTGAAGAGCTTTCCGGTTCTTGCAGCTCATTTGTGAAGAGGTTAAGAAGAATCAATCCGAATAGCCAGACATTTCTGTTTGCTGATGCTTTGTTGAAAATTCAACGTCTACCAACGTCACATGGGCGTTTGCAGGATTTTCTAGAATTGGGAAATCCTAAGCTAACGTGTCACTAATCATGATCGAGGGCCTCGTTCGAGAGACCAGTGTTGAAGAAAAAAGACTCAAACTACATAAAAAATTCCTTATCACTGCGTTGGACACGAAATTATGTGGACTTAAAATCGCACAGTAAGACTTTCTACCCAGTAAAAGGCAAGAAGTTTCTGATCGCGTGATAATCGCGCCGACATTCCCTGGACTTTCACGACTTGGAAAATTCCGGAATGTCCTCGACAGTTTATCAAGTTAGCTCGAAATTTCCGAGACTCAACTCGAGCCTCGATCCATAGAGTCATCGAAAGTCGAGAATCGAGTTTCGTTTTCTGTTGACAAAAACGGAGTTACAGGCAATTTTCCTCCACCACCCCCCCCCCTGTATTGCTTCCCTCGACAAGCTGACCCAATTTTTCACCAAATTTGAAACTCTTTGTACATGACCTCCTACTTATCATCCTAATTCGTTTACGTGACTCGCGTGCACGTGCTAACCGCGAGAGCTCACAAATCACGCAGGTCACGCAAAGTGTATAAGCGTTAGCATACCGCATCAAGGTCGTTTCTTAAGCTGTCGATCTCCATGTTTTTACTTCGTATGGCGTCTCTCTGATTGTCGATCGTCTCTTTCATTTTTTGCATCAATTCTGCGTCCCCAGGTGCACTAATGTATGCCGTTGCTGTAAATAAATCATCCATCTGTGTGGTTATTAAAAATCTATATGATGGAAAGAGGTCATTAACCCTTAACTTTACACCCTGACATCAGTATAGAAATTATTCCTACTGTTCCCTATACATATTTCCAATAAATATTCTCCAGAAGAATTTTTTTTTGACGGTCAAGAGCTTCCTTAGTTGGTGATCATTTGTTTTTTTACTCTTGTGACCTAAATGTGTGATTCAAGGGGGTAATACTGTAAGGAAAAATTTAATGCTAGACCCTCTTAGAGGTTGAAGGGTTCAACTTCAAAGGAAACTAGCTGGAAAACCATTGCTGCTTAATCCTGTTTGAGAATCACACGATGAAACTATTACCCTAAAATAATCATGTAGATGCAAAGGCTTTGATTGGTTGAGTATCATTATCAGCAACATACATGCAAGGTGAAAGAAATATGAACCCTTAAAACCCATGTACAGTAATTCTTATTAGAATCAAGGAAGTGATCACCAAACTAAAATTCTCCTCCTTGTTGGCACCTAAAGGAAATGTTTAGAGAAAGTTGTGGAGAATATGGACGCTAATGATACAGTGGAAAGGGTTAACGACCAACTATTAAAATGATCAATGCACCATATCTTGATACAGCTGTAATTCTTATGATGAAACAAATCACTCTCTTCAGACAGGGAAAAGTTTCTCAGATCAACCCCTTGAGTTTGTCTCAAGAAATGCACTTAAATCTGCACTTCATATAAATCAAAGGCAATCACTGAAACAAGGATAATTAATACACATTTTTTGCAACTGTCAGTCAGCATACCATAGGCATGATTCATTATTGTGAACTTGAAGCATTGAAACCACAGATCATTAAAAAAAGGAGTTCTTAGTTGACCCTATGACAAGTAAATGTTATCTTTACAACTCAGGGGAGTCCTTAAAAGCCTACCAGAGTTCATTCTGGTTTCTTTAGCCTGATATGGCCAGAAGCACAAATAATATTTCCATACCCCTAGACAAGTTGCCTGCCATCACAAATATCCTTCCCCCCCCCCCCTACCAATAACTGTTGTCCTCCAGGGCTCAGTTCAAATAGCAATTAGTCCTGACCCAGGGTTAAATTTTAATTCAGGTTATTCCTTTTTTTAAAGCCTTCTAGAATAATTCTCTCTACTCCTTTTAAACCATCCAATGATTTTAGACAAAAGGAATTATACTTATTTTTTGTTTTTGTTTTAAGCTTTCAGATCTGAAATAAAATTTCATGTTAACCCAGGGTTATCTTAACCCAGCTTTGAACAACCAGATCCAGACCCCTCAGTCCAGATCAATCACCTACTCCCTTTATATCTCATCAGTGAACAAAACAGAATTTTTCCTCACAATCTCAATACAATATCAAGCAGGCTAGTGATGGGAATAGAAAAAAAAATCCAATTAGGGAATTATTAAATGATCCAATACCAAACTGTCCAAACTAACATCATAGGAATTGTATATATCAGACAGTACGACGAGTTTCTAATCAGATCTTGGAAGCAAAGGGCTAAATCACATGACCACCATGTTTCCCAAAAGAACACAGAGAAGGGGGAGGTGCAGTCTAGAGAGGAACACTTCCCCTGGTAAACTCTGTCTCTATGTTATGAGCTCTCACCTGGTTGAGTATTAATTGATACTTGAAACTCCATTCTCAATTTCTTGTTTTCTTCTTGTAGTTTTATTAACATGGCTTTTAGGTTGTCTGTTTCTCCTGTTGCAGATATTTGATAAAGCTCCTGAGAGATAAAATTCAAGATGAACAAAATCAATCTTGGTCTTCATTCTAGTATACATTTGAACAAAATAGAACTTATTTCAACAAAACACCAAATTTTATCATAATGTAATCAAGTAATGTCTTGCAAAAAATGAATTTCACCAACTTAAATTTGATTGGCTTGCTGTGCTCCTTTTTTGAAAATCTTAGGCTTGCATAAAAATATTGGTTACACCATCTGAGAGAGTTTTAATTTCATCTCACACAACAATATCAGGTTTATAAAAATTATATTCCGTGGACCCTGACTACATGTAGATTTTCAAAACTTGATACACATTTCACTGACTTCTACCCCTAAAAAAGTTTCTTTTATTAATAACTGAGATCGCTCATTTCATTTTTAAACATAGGGTCACCCCATAAAAAGCTTTTCCTAAATTATCTTCCCTTTCATAAAGTGAGTTAATGGGCCAGAGAAAGTAATGAACTAACCCAAACATTTCTAATATAATTCACACACTAGAAAATAAAGCATAGCTATTTCTCTTTAATTTTTAATCAACTACATTGAGAAAGTAAATTAAGTTCACTGTTATATTTTGCTGGTCAGACAGTATCAAATAATCTAGAATATTTTTCCTTTTTCATTCCCCCCCCCACAAAAAAAAAAAAAAAAAACATAGGTTAAGTGATGAGAAATGGAACATTATATCAGGATGGGTTCTTAGCAGGCCTTGCAGTTGCTAAGGTAACCTGTAATGTCAAAAACACAATTAGCAAGTTTGCCATCAACTACACATTCGTAAGACACCACTTTTGCACCGAAACCACATAACTAAAGGGTGATATAATTGATAATACTGGTCAGTCATTACCAAGTATTCTCTATGTCAGCTATTGGTTATTATTATTATTATTATTATTAATATTATTATTATTATTATTATTGGTTATTATTATTGGTTAGTATTCTCTATGTCAGCTATTGGTTATGTCTAATGTTTTATTAGAATGAAACGCCTCTTTCCGCAGAGTGTTAACTGTAATTTCAGCAGTCGAACGATCTTTTATGTCAAACCTGACCAAGGTTACAGATGAATATTTCCCTGTCATTATGCTGTTATTCAGGTTCGAGCTTACACAAAAGACGTCACATAGAATTGAGCACAAACGAGGCTGGAGTCATTGCTTATAAACCGCATCTTACTTTTTCCCTGAACAAAGTCTATTGCGAGTGCAAATTACTTGGCCTTTACTCAGTCTGAACCTAATAAACAATTGTCAATTAAACCATGCAAAGTATCACTTCAATGAACTTGGCAGGAAACGCACACTTCATCAGATTCCAAAGCACGGTCCTGAATTTCTTAAGAATGGGAAACAATTTCACCATTAAAAATTTTGACACTTGGCGCTGCTCCAGGGAGAATAAGGGACAAGTCCTAAACTCGAGCCAGACGAATACCGCGTAATTGATTTCCGAATATTGGTTATGGTCCATTATTTTTCATTATGATCGTCGCAGGCTCCTAATCGACTCCATATGCAGACCTCCTGAGATACACTTGAATACAAAACAACAAAATATCAGCATGTGATATGAAATTTGGCAGTCGAACTACCTTTACGCAGTAAAGTATTCTCGAACCTTCCGAAAGCTATCTGTTAGTTTATGTGTGAAATTATCTATGGATGCCAGAATTCGGTTTCGATTGCACGTTATCTTACAGTCGATCGCTGTATTTTACGGTAGAGTGAGTTCTTGCTGCGGCTTTTTCCGATCCTTTGATATTGCGAACAGTGCAATCCTAGTTAAACACGCGTGTACATTCCTTGAGGTCAACTTTCTCAAAACAACAACTTGTTGCTTTCTTGGAATTAATATATCTCAAGTGTCCCATTTAAAAATTAACCAGCCACACAGTTTTAAATCTTTCTCCATTTCACCAACCTCAGCTTATTTTGCACCCTAATTTTAAGACGAGGTTAAATGAAGTAAATCAAGCTCCATAAGTAAACAAATCATCTCTGTGCGACAAGTAGTGCAAGATGAAAAGAAGCCACATTGATTGCTCATTTCGCGCCTTTACGCAGGCGAGCAATAATACTTACTTCGTCTAATTTTCTCCGCTGGCTCGCTTCTCGCTTTATATCCAAGTAAAGCCGTTCATTTTCAAGTTTCAGCTCCGCAATTTCCAATTTATCCTTTTCCTTTTCCCCAACAACGATCTCCAGTTTCTCTAACACTCGAATGACTTTGGGCATCAAATCCATCACTGCGTCGTGCCCAAAACGGTCGATAATTTTCTCGATGTCTTGTCCGATCAGAGAAGCATCTTCATAAACGTCAGCAGTAGTAATTTCAGCAGCCATGATGTCAAAAAACGATGATGTACTCCTGAATGGCCTCTTAATGAGTAATGGGTTTTAGGGCGAAGCTCTGATACATGTGTCGTAACAAATAAAAGCAAGGCGGATATCAACAATTATAGGCACAACTGATATTTTATCTGTAAGTCGGCCGTCTTGCCACCCCGAAGAACTTTTTTAGTCCTAACCCAACAGCTTCCGAATTAAATAACCATGAACCTGTGAGAAACCTTTTTTCAACAACTCCCGTTTCATAGTTTTGGGTTTCACTTCCTGCGAGAGTTTCACTGCAAACGCAGTTCCGGTTGGTTCTCTTCGGCTGTTATCCGATCTAGTAGGTCAGCGGTAATTCATCCAACATGGCGGAAAAGACGAACCAGGTAACTTTTGTCAATACCCGATAAAATGGACTTGATTTACGATGCAGTTTGGTCTACATCAAAGCCAGTAAATAGGTAAAAACTAATTTTTCTATCAAGTTAATCTTTTTGTGCTCGGAATAAAGTTAAAGTAAATTGATATTGTGTCAACAGAATGAAGCTGATCATTAACGATACTTTGAATTTTTAACTCCCAGAATGTGGACACTTATTGACTCCTTACGGGTGATCGTAAATTTCTAGTGAGGGTACTTATGCAAATAAGGTGTTATAACAAAACGATATTTCCCAGTTGATAACTTTCTTTAATCATCTTCAGCTGTGTCATGTTATCGACCGTCTATTTATTATCTAATTGCAGAGAAGAATTACATTTATATTATTATCAGTATCACTCATCAGTCGAGTGTTGTGGAGAATTTGGTGGGCTAAGATATGTTTCAGCTTGATGAAATAAACCAAAGAAAAGCGAGAATTAAAAATTCGTGCGATGCAGGCACTCTTGCTATTATAAACAGGTTAGCTTTGAATAAGCTTAGACTCCTCTTTTACAAGTTTTGAATACACAAGACATCTTCAGATTAAGAGATTGCCAGAGATTAGCATCTCTGCAAAATATGGTAATTATACTATTAGCAATAGTTAATCTAGATTTTCATTAATTTTAATGACATGGCTTTTTATAAAATTGAAGCAATCCTTGTGGCAAAGTTGTTGTAGCCTGGTCCTGCAGAAACTTGATAGCATTCAGTACTGGTTACCGAAAGCTCGAGGTCAGTGAAGAGCAAAATCCAAGCAGCGCCAATGGACAAAATGAAAGGTATACATAGTAACAAATCATGACTCAAGGAGCTCTTTATGTATAGGTAATAAAATGATTTTGAGTGCAATGAATGTTCTCTTGTTATGGATTTTTAGATCACAGATCACAAATGGAATAAATATTTTGGATCCTGATTGTCCATGGGATGTATCCAGGTACAATACGTAATTTGTTCTGAAATACATGTACAGTACTTTTTTTTATGATTATCTAACTTGTTACACCCTTGCATCAGTTTGCAAGTTCTCCATCTGTTCCTTATACATTTTCCTTGGTATGTTCAAGGAGAATCTGGAATAACAATCAGTGGGGTTCTTGACTTTGTGACCATTTCCTTTATTGCCATGACTTTAATGTTTGACTCAAGAGTGATACTGTTGGAAGAAATTAGATACTTATCACTCAGAGGGTTAAGTTGCCAGATCAGAATTTGGACAGTTTAGTTTTGGAGAATCAAGTAAAATTAATTTACTGCTAAGTTATAATATTATTTTATTTGTTCATTTATTTATCAGTTAGTTCTCTTTATCAGTTATTGCCTTTGCCTTTATCAGTTATTGCCTTTGTGAGGCTTGAGGAGTCCAGTGGTCAATGCACTGGACTCTGGGTCAGCTTATGGCCCGGGTTCAAGTCCTGGCTGGGGCTTGACGTTGTGTCCTTAGCAAGACGCTTCACTCACATTGCTTCGTCTTCTCAGATAAGATGTAAAGCCAGAGGTCCTGTCTCCTTTGTCTGTCAGTTAATTTGGTTAGGCAGGGGATGTTAAAGAACCCACTTCCCGAGATTACTGTGAGGTGGTCTGGCCTGTTTATTAGGAATTGGGGGGAGGGGGCATCTGTAAAATTTCTTCTTTATTAATTGTAAACTGCCGCTGGCAGTCTGGAAAAAGTCTCCCGCTCAGTGTTGTAAAGCACATTAGAACATTGCATGGAAATGCATTATAGAAATTGATATTATTATTATTATTATTATTATTATTATTATTATTATTATTATTATTATTATTTTAAACATTGTTTTTGACACGCGCTCTTCTATTCTTATTAACTTAACGGCCTGC